TTTTCTTTTTACATATCAAATGCTTACACTTCTATTCTTTCACAGTCACTGGAGATGATTAAATATCCAGATGTTGTCCGGAGCATATTTTCTACATGCATGGAGGAATTTTAATGTTACTTTATAGAATTGTTCACCACCATGAGACGTAGTGCCCTGCACATGAACCAAGTCTCTAGGTCAAAGGTCAAAGGTGAAGGTCACAGTTAGAGCTCATAGAAAAATGCTTGTCTGGAGCAAAACTTCTACATGCATAGAGGGATTTCAATATAATTTGGCACTGTGCTGAGTGCCGTGCATAAAATTCAGGTCCCTGCGACCAAGGTCAAGGTCACATATCCTGTGCATATCTTCCCTACTGATTTGTTTTAAGGTTCATTTAACAACACAGTGCCAAGAATAAAAACTTGCTTGCTAGATAACACTTATCCATAATGCCCCCATCTCCATCTAAAGCTTTCGTAAACGGGCGTATTTTGTGACTATGGCACCCTTGTTTAAGTTTAAACTTAATATTATTAAGTGTGTTCATATAAGCTTGAGTTAATAGCATGGGTAAATAATATATACATATACAAACAAATTAAATTACGAGTATAACTATGTACCCGACGTACAAAAGAAGTTATATACCTGTCCTTATATTAATATCAATGTCATAAAACATATTTACTGAGATCGTGGGCATATATGCACCGTACAGAATAACAATACATATATTACAATTCATGCCTTTGATATTATTAAGGCTACATCAAATTTAAGATTTGAACAAAACATTTCAAAAAGGGCATCTTACTAGCCAATATTGAGATAAAATGTATTTTAATTGTTAATTATTATGTGCTTCCTACGTAGTTTAAAATAGTTCAATTACAAAGAGCCAACATTGTCTTTTCCTCTTCTACACTTGTAAGTGCAATTGCTACTTATTTCAAATTCACAATACATTACATGACTGTAGAGATGAAGAAAATTTTCAAGATCTGCGTGTAATGTTCGATACTAATATTGTAATGTTTGATACATCGTTGTTATATGTTGTAGATGCTATCATGTGTATAATATTGTAGATGATATATTTTAAACATGTCAGCAACTATGTTAATAGTATCTGATAATATTTTCAGTTATTATATGTATGTTTATAATAGTAGTTTTTTTACTACAAGTGAAACGTTATTGGGGTTTGAAACTGATTTAGATGATAATCAACAATATTGCCTCATATATATTTACGCATTTAAATTACAAACACCTATTTGCTTTATTTAAACAATATATAATTATGGAATATTTTCTCAAAACAAAAGCAAAATCGCTGAAAACCTTAACAAATGTAAAGATTGCCATCAGAATAATTCAGTTATGTCCGATACAAAATGTAGTGAACATTACAATACCTATTATGAAAGGTATATCACTTATAATCTATATCTAAACAATTTCAGTAAGAAAACCTTGCATACAGATTCTTGCTTTAGAAGAAAATAATTATTAAACGTATTACATCTTTGTTTTTGTAGTTACTAGAATCTGATATTCAGTTACTAGATTCTATAGCCTTACTTATACAAAATTAAGAAAATTTGATTATAACTGTAAAAATACAAAGGATGTATACATTTATGCTGCATCTATGATTAAGTTTAACACAAAAATGACTAGTTTAAGTCCTGGTTTATTGAAAATTAAGTATACTAAAGCCATGTTACATTTTTATTGTATTGAACATTGCAGTCGCGTACATTACAGACATATGTGAATATAGATATATTAAAAGATTCATGGGTACAATTCTTTCAGATTTGGTTATTATATATCCCTCCAAATGTAAATCATTTATTAACTAGAAATGTGTCATCATGCCACGGATGCCCCCGCATGCAGCCAAAATTTCAGATGTTATAATATTTAGATCTAGTTCCAAATTTGTTTGCACAAATTATTTTTTTATTTTAAGTTCAAAGACCTTAAAACTTTTCAATGTTAACACAAACCATTTTCATACAATGTTCAAGGCACTGAAATTATTCAGTCTTAACCTTTTGAAAATAGTATATTTCATATTTGTAGCCAAAATAATGGCTACATACATTTCCACAAAAGTATGAGTGCTGAAACTGAAAGTTCAAAATTTTTCCAACATTCAAGAAAGATAAATTTGTCCAAAATCATTGAACCACGACCAAATTCAAACTTAAAACTGCTTATTCCTAAGATGTATCTATATTATTATCAAAGTGAAAGGGACATAACTCTGCCAAAAAAATCATCGAACCATGACCAATTTCCAACTTTACTTGCCCATTCCTTTGACATATCCATATGTCAAATTTGAGTTGAATGTGTAACACTGTTGGGTAGATAATGAACAGAAACTGTAAAATTCATATTATTTTCAAAGTGAAAGGGGCATTACTCTGCCAAAAATCATTGAACCATGATCAAATTCGAACTTGGCCTGGGTATTCCAAAAACATATCCATAAAATTATGTCAAATTTGAGTTGAATGTCTTGTACCGTTGGGGAGATAATAAACAGAACTGAAAATTTCATATTATTTTCAAAGTGAAAGGGGCGTAACTCTGCCAAAAATCATTGAACCATGACCAAATTTGATCTTGACCTGCGCATTCCTTTGAGTTATCCACATGTCAAGTTTGAGTTGAATGTGTTGTACCGTTGGGGAGATAATGAACGGAAATTGAAAATTTTATATTATTTTCAAAGTGAAAGGGGCATAACTGTGCCAAAAATCATCGAACCATGACCAAATTCGAACTTGACCTGTATTTTCTCATGACATATTCATATGTCAAATTTGAGTTGAATGTGTTGTACCGTTGGGGAGATAATGAACGGAAACTGAAAATTTCATATCATTTTCAAAGTAAAAGGGGCATAACTCTGCCAAAAATCATCGAACCATGACCAAATTCGAACTTGACCTGTATTTTCTCATGACATATCCATATGTCAAATTTGAGTTGAATGTGTGCAACCGTTACTAAGATAATGAACGGAAACTGATGATGACGGAATGACGGAAGGACGGAACAGGGTAACACTATATGCCCCGGCCATTACATGGCGGGGGCATAAAAATTCCTTAATTGGGAAATAGTGCACAGAACGTACTAATTTTTAAGTAGCGAACACTACATGCTTAAGTCATCATCTGGCACAGGCTGTCAAAGTAATAGAATCTCGGTTAATTCTTAGAATTTATCATAAGAAAGATAAGTCTGGCTATAGTAGCATAAGTATTTAATTGTAAATAAACATATAAACGACTTAGATTACTTAGTTATTTTCAGTTATGTTCGGCACTTAATTTACAAGTCGCGTACATTACCGATGCCAGTAAATTTTTGCGACAGTTCTAAAACATTCTACATATGACAAAGATCAGTCTTTTCAAGTGGGTCAAGCTTCGAAAACAGATAAGAAGACATACATACTCCTGCACAAATTAATTTTTTGCCGAAATTGTATAGGTTTTTGGGGTTACACTAGCTCAAACACGAATAATCCAAAATGGCGACAGTCTCGAACATTACATTTCCAATAGCTTCCCTCATAAAATTTTGGTATCGAATGTGTTATCAATGAAGTCTATGGATCAAAAAATTCCCTTATATACTTTTTGCACGTTAGCTATCAAATAGCAAGTTTTTCTGAATCGATTATGTTCAGAGTGTGCAGCGACATCAATTTCACAATTCGCGTGAGAATAAGTGATTGCATCGAAACATAAGAATCGCAATATGCATCACATTTTATCAAAGTATGCAATACATATCGTGAATCGCATCGTTTGGAAATGCAAGTATCCTGATATGTATCGTGACAGAAAAAAATGGCAATGCACAGCCCTAATTTAGATAAACATTTAGTAGTAGTATCTTTATTTACATCTCTTCATTGCATACATAGTGTCTACTCTAGGATTTGATAAATAGGGGGATTTTTATCTAAAAGTGAGAATTTATTACATTTGTTCTTTTTCTTCCTTCTTTCTCTAAGTAAAATTTTCCCCCTGACTCTGAAAAAAAAATGGGGAAGGATTCTCACAAAATAGGGGTGAATCCCCCATCCCCATCCTAGAATAGACACTGCATCATACACATGATAAAAACATACATATATCTTTTAAAACAAAATAAATAGATGCAATGCCATTCCATATGGAAAGTATGTTTACATTTTTAGCTCTTGAGACTTTATAAAGTTTACTGGTTGGAGAGATAAACCAGACATTTGATAGATATTTTTGTTTTTCAAGAAACAAGAACATGGCCACCTAGTAATGTGCAGGACAGAATGTGTTACTAAATTTAAATTTGGTAAACTTTTAATGTGTTTCAAATAACAATAAGTTATTGTATACAAAAACTGTCCCTTAATGTTCTTTTTACTAAACTACCATCGGTACCCCCAGCTAGTTCATTGACCACTGCAGTGTAAGAAATTAGGATTTGAATCGATTAAGCTGGTTGGGCTTGTTACTGTGAAAAGTTTGTACCCCGAGGAGAAAGGGGCTATTGGACTACTGCTAATTTCGAACACTGCCACTGACTCAAGAAACAGTTTTGAAAATACAGTCAAAGTGTCGGCAAAATATAGATCAAACATATGAAATGAAAAAGTAAATGAATGCTGCTAATTTTCCTGCTATTTAATTTTTACATAAAAATTACAGTGTTGACTTTAATCTTCCGTAGTGGGGAAAAAAGACCATGTTTTGGATACCCCAATCTGGACCTTGAGACGTACCAGATTCTATATCCATAAATTATTCTTGTAGTGTAATGTAAAGTCTTTGAACAGAAACTTTGTTTTTGTAGGTAAATATTTTAAATGTACAAAACGTTAATTGAATTATTGCAAAAAAATATGTGATTTAGTATCAGAGTTATCTCCCCAACCAGTATAAGTAAATTTATTTTAAGTTAGATCTACTTTATTTATTTTGAGTTCTTCTCTTCTCTTACAGGTGACATTGGCAACTATTATTATGGACAGGGACATCCCATGAAACCACACCGTATACGCATGACACATAATCTTATTCTTAATTATGGTCTCTACAGAAAGATGGAAATATATGTAAGATTTGAGTCCATGATTTTAAAATACATGTATAATTGCATGCACAAAACATGTTTGCATTTTTATACACCCATTTTGATATACCCCCTAAAATCTGTCTCTCTGAAAAATCAGTCAATGGGTTATCTTAACAGTAAACAAAACAAACTTGTGCCATTTAAAGAAATGTACATTCCTATAATATTTGTAAAGTTTGGAGATCTTTTAAAATATATTTTGTTCCCTCATTAGAAATTCAGGGATACTGTATATGAGAGGAACACACTTGTTAAAGTAGAGCATGTAATAGTATCAGGGAATGATATAGATACATGTATACAAATGTATTATAATATATGTTTCAGCGGCCACACAAGGCCACCCAGGAGGAAATGACCAAGTTCCATAGTGATGATTATATCAAGTTTTTACGAAGTATACGACCAGATAATATGTCCGAATATAATAAACAGATGCAGAGATGTAAGGATGATACTTCACTGAGAATATTGTTTTCTTTTCTTTCTTATTTCAATTTGATATAGTAACTGTTCAGTTTATTTATATAACAAAACTAGACACGTCTTTTTAATCTAACATGAAAAAATTGGGGCGAATAAAAACCTTGTTTACAACGCAAAGTACATGTATATATTTGAATTTTCGTCTGCTGCCACATTTCTAAAAAAAAAATATAGCAGATTCTGTAAGACTTGCATTGCTTTTCAGTACAGTAGTACAGTAATAATCAACCCATGCTGCACTGTACATTTTGCCTTGTACAAACCATGGGTAATATAAACTATAAGTCTGTATATTACAGTCAATGTCGGTGAAGATTGCCCAGTATTTGACGGCATGTATGAATTCTGTCAGCTGTCAACAGGAGGATCTGTTGGTAAGAAGTGACCTTTGTAAAGTTTGTTAACAGTCATTGATGTATGAATACTTTGAAACAAATCCTTGGAACTAATTTTTGTAATCCAGTGTTCCAAGTGAGGAATTAGATCAGCATTTTTCAAGTTCAATTTCAATCAGAAACATTGATTTATAGCAAATTAAGATTATTTAAAACTGTTAGTTATAAGTTTTATAGTTAAAAAAAAACTGTATACCCAATTATGGGGCCATTGTATATAGTTATGCTGTATACATGTATCATACTTAATTGACATCATGTTTCAATTTTTGTCTCCAAGGATATAATTTTTTGTTACTTTCAATTACTTTTAAAAGTAATATTTCATTAGCAAACATTTATAGTCAGTTATATTAAACTGTTACTAGTATAAGTAATAAGTTATGTACTGAATGTCGCAGTAATTATTTTTATTGTGTTTTATTTTAAGCTGGGGCAGTAAAGTTGAACAAACAGGCAGCAGATATTGCTATAAACTGGGCCGGTGGTCTTCATCATGCTAAGAAATCAGAGGCATCAGGATTCTGTTATGTTAATGATATTGTACTTGCCATTCTGGAGTTACTCAAGTAAGGAGTTTATGTAGTTATTCTTTACTGTTTATTGAAATTTCAGTTAAATGAGATTTTGTGTTAGAAGGTAAAGTTGATGTAAATGTCAGTAGGAAAAATGTAAAGTTAACAAGCCATTGAATTGTAATGTGACATAACCTTTCTTGTATATGTAAGTAAAATATGTGTAAAAAATAGTCTTGCTCATCAAACAAATAAAGTTATTTATATGCTTTATAGAGCCCGAGTCCACTAATTGCCTTTTGTGAAATTTCTGTTAGTGGTTTGTTGTTTTACTGTTTGTCTTAATAATCTCTTAGCTCAGAAGCAAAGTTGCATGTTTCTAATTTTTCTTGATAATACAAGTATCTATATCTGATGATGGCTATAAGTAATGTAAGTTAGATTCAGTAAATAACGACAGTAAATTTTGTCATACATAAAAAAAAACAAGAAAAATGAAAGTTTGGTGTATATATTATTGTGAAATTATATAAAGATGATTGTTATTATAGATACCATCAGAGAGTGTTATATATAGATATTGACATTCACCATGGAGACGGTGTAGAAGAAGCATTTTATACAACAGATCGTGTGATGACTGTCTCATTCCATAAATATGGAGAATATTTTCCTGGTACAGGAGATCTTAGGGTAAGATTGACCTTCATTATGATTGTAGATTAAAGTTATTGATTCAGTAGACATTGTTTAATTAATAACTATGCTCTACATGATCAAGTTGATGTCTACTTTTACCTTGTAAGGGTCATTCCTTATTAGCTTTATAAGGTGTTAACTTGAGACAAACATGCACCTTTGTGGTCATGATAATTGTATGTTACTGTCTTAAACTTGTAACATTGGAGTGAAGTTTTACTGAATTATACCCGTTAATAATGGTTTTGTTGCAAATCATCTCTCCCAATAACTTTGAAGGCATTAATTTGAATATTCACATGTGTGAACCAAGCCTTATTAACATTAGTTTGGGAGTTATTCCCCTTTGTGAACATTAAACATTCGTGTATCTTGTTTTATTATCAAACTGAGAATTGTTTAAAAGTTAGTGTCATATGACAGCTTTTGCTGGGTAGTATCTAAGTGTTTATTACTTATATTTAAATGATAATACCTAAATTGTAACTTTGAGTTTTGGATTGAAGATTGATAACTTTTATAAATTATAATTATTAGATATATATCTGATTAAACTACAGATTATGTATTACTGTGAAATCATTATTATTCGTGGGGCACGAAGTTTCATGGTTTTCGTGGGTAGGTCAATCCACGAATTTAAGATCCGACAAACTTTTATCCCAACAAATACTTCTTACCCAGTCTCTGTTCTATATATATTACAAACATGCGTCGGCTCTTTTCCGGCCGATATTTCGTGAAATGGATGTAAATACAGGCAGATAATCAGGTTAGTGACATATTAAATCCGTTTGCAATATTTAAGAAACTTGAAAGAAAACTCGATTATATATCCTCAATTTACTGTCACAAATGTCGCATATACATACTTGATCATTGTAGTCTACTAGGACTTGATTGTGTTAGCAAGAATACTTATCATAATCGAGTAAATATGGGAACTCAGGCAGTGCTATAATTATCGCTAATGAAAATTGTCAGTTTGCTTTTAAAAAAAAGTCTTTGATATTAATGTCGTAAGTACACAAAACATTAAAAAAAATACGACCGCTAAAACAGATTTATTGTACATTCTTTTGTCGTTTTTAAATGATCAAGTTTATATGAATTTTAATCTGTATTTGTGCGAATGCTATTCCGTAAACATCAAAGACGCCACCGACTTTTACAAGATTCACATATACTCGTAATATTTACCGAGATTATTTTATATGCATGTAAATTAACACAGTCGCTGTGACGTTGCGTGTAGTTACTGTCAAATATGTTGACCAATTCAGGGTGTAAACTTTTAAACTCGCTGGTTAAAACATATCAGGTGTCGTATAAATTATGCGATGTTTACATCGGCGAATTACAGGGTCAGTGTGTCCAATGGAAGTGCATATCATGTCACATAAATGTGTTAATTGCAGTCAATTTTCGGCAGTAACTGTGCTGTATAAGAGTTATGCCCAGAGGCAAGGATTTAATTTATTGACAAGCGCTGTGTGACAAGTAAAGATATGTACACGTTGTAAGTAAAAATGTTCGGCGGTTAAGATTACTTTGCATTAGGTTACTGAATTTTTTTTTAACAAGAAAACGAAAATCCACGAATTTAAGAACCCACGAAAATGCCCGTTTTGATAAAACCACGAAATTTCATGCCCACGAATATAAGTGAATTCGCAGTACCATATAGAATATAGTTATGTAAATATTGTAATGATTGACGACATGTATAAGTGATGATGTATATTTTTTAGCTCGACTATTCGATTCGATAAGAATAAGTAGAGCTATTGTAGTCACCCGAGCGTCGGTGTTGGCGTAACCATTATGTTAAAGTTTTTATAATACCTTGTGATGTATATTGAGATAGAGTTTGTTTGTGTACAGGATATAGGTGCAGGAAAAGGGAAATATTATGCTGTCAACTTTCCTCTAAGAGATGGTATTGATGATGAAGCATATGAAACTATCTTTAAACCAGTGAGTTGTAAAATTTAACTTTAAAATCTAGGATTCCCTAAAATTTAGTTAGTTTTGAAATTTATTTATTTGCTTTATGCCACAATTTCACAATTTAAATTTATTTTTAGGTATATTAACATTGAGTTATGTTTGTACATATATACCATTTTTACACATTATGTGATTCCTGAAATTTGTCTTGTTGGAGTGGTAAAGTTAAGTGCATACAGAGTAATTTTCATATTCAGCCGGTAATGTACATTGGGACTTCCTCAAGTCCTACATTATACCCGTTTATGAAGGCTAAAGAGATTGGTTAAACAGGGCCCTATAAGAACTGTAATGGTCAGTTAGATAATGTTGTTGTTGTTGTTATTAGGTGATGACCAAGGTTATGGAGATGTACCAGCCTAGTGTTATAGTGCTACAATGTGGGGCTGACTCACTATCAGGAGACAGACTGGGTTGTTTTAATCTTACTCTTAAAGGTCAGTTCTAATTACTTGTAACATTACTACTATCATAATGTTAGCGTTCCATGTATTTTCATTAGGAGATTTTTTATTATACCCCCACCACAAAATGTGGGGGGGGCTATAATGGATTCGCTTTGTCGCGTCGGTCGGTCGGTCCGTCCGTCCGTCCGTCCGTCTCCATTTTCGTGTCCGCTCTATAACTCCTATACCACTTGAAGGATTTTCTTCAAACTTGGCTCAAATGTTCACCTCAGCAAGGGGATGTGCAGAACCCATGTTGCCCATGTGTCAGCTCAAGGTCAAGGTCACAATTGAAGGTCAAATATCAAACACAATCATATATTAGACAGTATGTCGTGTCCGCTCTGTAAGTCCTACAATAATTGAAAGATTTTCTTCAAACTTGGTTCAAATGTTCACCTCAACAAGGGGATGTGCAGAACTTATGTTGCCCATGTGTCATCTTAAGGTCAAGGTCACAATTGAAGGTCAAATCAAACAATCAAATATTACACAATATGTCGTGTCCGCTCTGTAAGTCCTACACTTATTGAAAGATTTTCTTCAAACTTGGTTCAAATGTTCACTTCATCAAGGGGATGTGCAGAACCCATGTTGCCCATGTGTCATCTTGAGGTCAAGGTCACAATTGAAGGTCAAATATCAAACAATCAAATATTACGCAGTATGTTGTGTCCGCTCTGTAAGTCTTACACTTATTGAGAGATTGTCTTCAAACTTGGCTCAAATGTTCACCTCAACAAGGGGATGTGCAGAACCCATGTCACCCTTTTGCCGGCTTAAGGTCAAGGTCACAATTGAAGGTCAAATATCAAACAATCAAATATTACGCAGTATGTCGCGTCCGCTCTGTAAGTCCTACACTAATTGAGAGATTTTCTTCAAACTTGGCTCAAATGTTCACCTCAACAAGGGGATGTGCAGAACCCATGTCACCCTTTTGCTGGCTTAAGGTCAAGGTCACACTTGAAGGTCAAAATTTGACTTAGAAAATGTTCTTAAATTTTAACATATATCTGAATATTTCTGAATCTAGGAAAGGTATTGGTTGAAACTTAAAATATATATGAAATGTCACAATTAAGATATGCTGGTCAAGTTTCATAACTCTGTATTGCATTTAAACAAAGTTATGCCCCTTTTTAATCTTCAAATTTACATACAATCACATATTAGACAATATGTCGTGTCCGCTCTATAAATCCTATACTAATGGAAGAATTTTATTCAAACTTTACTCAATGTTCACCTAAACAAGGTTATGTGCAGAATCCATGTCACCTTTGTGCAGTCTAAAGGTCAAGGTCAAAAATTGACTTAGAAAATGTTCTTAGATTTTAACATGTTCTTGAATATTTCTGAAACTAGCACAGGTATTTGCTTGAAACTTAAAAGATATATGAGGTGTCACAATTACGATATGCAGGTCAAGTTTCATAACTCAGTATTGCATTTTGACAAAGTTATGCCCCTTTTTAAGTCTTTAAATTTACATACAATCAATACTAGAATATATGTTGTGTCCACTCTATAAATTCTATACTAATGGAAGGATTTTCTTAAAACTTTACTCAAATGTACACCCCAATTTGGGCGATGTGCAGAACCCATCTTACCCTTGTGCCAGCTTAAGGTCAAGGCCACACTTGAAGGTCAAAAATTGACTTACCAAAAGTTTAGTATATTGGGAAAATGAAAGGTTATTTGTAACTGTTTCGAACATGATTTGATAATAGATATTTATACTATTACCTGTACAATAAGTCTTTTTTTCAACAGAGATAATTTCTTTTTATGTATTTGTACGACTTGTTATTTCCTTAACCACCTTTCCAAGTCGTCTTCTGTCAAGGACATTGGTGGGGGTATGAATCGCATTCAGCGATAGTTCTAGTTTTGTATAGAATATAACGACTGAGTGTGTGCTTTTTAATCAAGTTTGAATATAATTTTCATAACATTTACTCAAATAAAGTTGTTGTGCAGTCTCCCAAGAACAAAGTTAGGGAAGTCTATTTTCAGTTAAGACCCAAACAGAGTCTTGTTATTCATTCTTACAGAAATGCTTAAGGGTGTTTCCGAGAGTTTTCATAATTATAGACATAGGCAAAATCGTACCTGTTCAATAGAATTTCTTTAAATTTGGCATGTTATTAGAATAGAATAATAGAAACATTTAAGTGGAAAAAAAATTGGGCTACCGTTCTCAGTTTTAATTTTGTCTATATGTCTGTATGAAAACTGCCGAAGAAGTCTTGAAGTAGGCTTTTATTTAGCCTTTAATCTGCTGAATTTGTGTAAAGGGTTTTCTCTGCTTTGAATTTGGAACAGTCGACCTAAACTTTGAAAGTATTTCAGTATAAAAATAAAAAAATTGACCCAACAGCAGTCTCTAGTGTGTATAGATTGAACATTTGGTTCTATACTTGTGGGAATGGCTAATCTTTTTCAGTTCCAGCTTGAAGAGTTAATTTATCAGTTAATTATGAGAAAATGATTTTATATACTTAAGTAATAAAGTTAAAAAGGTAAAAGATTTCTCAATAAACCAACTTGTTGTCATTCAGTTCAATAAGACTTGTTGATGTATTCTTATCTCACAGTAAACCTGTGTTATTATTCAGTTCATTACATTTAAGACTTGTTGATGTATATTTACAGGTCATGGTAAAGCTGTAGAGTTCATGAAGAAATGGAATCTTCCATTGATGTTACTGGGTGGAGGATTTTTCCTTTAAAAAAAGTAGCTAGTTGCTGGCCCAACATGAAACATCAAATAGCTTTTTTCAAGTAGAATTTTGAAAATTTGGAAATTTAAAACTGTACACCCAATCCCATCTTTTTTTTTAAAGGGGGAAAGATTTTCGAATTTTTTTTAAATTAATTGGGTTTTTAAAATTTTAATTTTAGCCCAAAGGAATTTTTGTTTTTTAAAAATTTGGAAAGGATGTCATGTTTTTATATAATTTACAATGAATAGAGGATATTGAATGAGTGTAAGTTCAATACTGAATTTATTGCACGAGTTGAAAAAAGAGGCTCACATAATATTATTTTATCCAAAGAGTTCAATAAATTCAGTAATGAACTTGCACGAATTTAATATTCTATTTATCACATACCCAAAATAAAGACCGTTTAAAGTTAAATAAGAGTCATTTTTCTTTGACGCGCCTATAGTATAACGCTAACATTTAGAGCGTCTTTACACTATGTTTGTATAACGCTAATGACGTCACGTCAAAATACATGCACGGCCATGCAATACCCATTTTTACGGAGTCGCAAAATCGGCACGGGTGTTAAAATTATGTATATTATTAATGTTGTGTTTTATTTTGAAATTGCCTGTTTATTTGATCTTATGTCTTGTATTCTGATGAAGCTTCTGTATTTAGGGAAACAAGTAAATAAATGTCAGACATAAAATATGTGTTATTGTTGGATGTTTTATGTTTGGTAAAGAAAAGTATAGAAATACTAACAAATTTCTTTAGTCTGAAAAAAAAAATATTATGCAGATGAGATAATAATGGAAAATAAATCTGGAAATTTTACAGTTTCTGTTATTCCTATGTTTAGATGGCAGTAAGTTGGAAGTAGTTTGTTAATATTGACAAATATATGTATGTGTGTGATTAAATGTTTCTTTTTATCTGTCCTTACAGAATTACCATACAATGATTACTTTGAGTATTATGGACCAGACTTCAAGTTAAACATTAGTCCCTCAAATATGGCCAACCAGAATACAGGAGAATATCTGGAAAAAATCAAGTAAGTATTTACATATCAGAGACATGAATTACATGTGTACTTGATATTCATCTACATGAACGTTTCACCTGATGTATTTCTTAATGGAATTGTTTAGTTTCCATTGTGTGTATATCAAGATGAAAATTTAAATGAGTCTATTGGCAGAATTAAGCCTGGTCAGACTGTATTGATGTGCAGGCTTCTGCCCAGATACTCAGGCTTACCTGTATATACCAGTGGCAAGGTGATAGGTGACACTCGGTTCCAGCACAATATCTAGCATACATTTTTTTTTTCAAATGGCTTTCAATAAATGATTCCAATGCTGTTATATTTTGTCAGTTTGAGTATTTTTGGTTTGTCTCTTGTTTTATCTGACATTGTTAACTAAAACTCACTATTTTACTGATACAGTATTAATTTATTATAGGACAAGGTTGTTTGAGAACTTGAGAATGTTGCCTCATGCACCAGGTGTTCAAATGCAAGGTATTACTATACTTCTTAACTTCTTATCCTAGATGTATAGAATTATTAATATTGTAGTTAAAACTAACCACTAAACAGTTACATGTACTGGACATTTTTGATGAAATATTTAAGGCCTATAATGCAAAATCTGGAAATTTCAGAAAATATATTTACAATTAAAAGTTAAACCAAATATTACTGAACTTATAATTTTATCATATTTGAAGTTTAAAAAATAGAGTTAAATCTTCACTGTTTAGGTATATTTCATATTCAATTGTCTGAAAGATTTCGTGTATCTTGACTGGTTTTGTCATATGCTGTCTTTTACATCGCAATGTTTATACCAATTTATTGAATATCCATACAAATGTAGATATTTGCTATGTTTTAGCGAGTTGTATGCCAATGTGTATACTGAAAGATTTTATTGTTCAACCTTGCCTTCTCATGTCATACCTACATGTTATTGTAACTATGTCTATGGGTTGAAGACAAGATTTTGCAATAAAGTTGAATTTGTTATAGACAGGTATCCTGTAGCCATGTATGGTAAATAACTGTGCTATTGTATAACTATTTCAGCTATACCAGAAGATGCCCTCAATATGAGAGTGTGATAATGAGACCTAAAGAAAACCCGAACAAGCAGAAATCTCTAGTAGTCCCTTTAACATTTACGATATGATACTGATTCTTGTTCTCTTATTTTAAAGCCTGTCATTTTCCTCGGTTTTTGTACTTTTCAGTTTCGGCTTCTTAATAGGATTTTTTTAAATTGTTCTTAAATTTATAACATCTTCAATGCATTCTTTTAATTTTTTTGGTCCTGTATTTAAATTAAATTCTTAGAAACTTTTTAGATTTTTAGAAATTGAAATGTTTACCAATGCCTGGGTCAAAAATTGGCATTGCACCATTCACCAAATACCCCTTTCTGGATCAGACTTTTTACAGAACATTTCAAGTTTTTTTATCGCTAAATATCGCTAAGATAAGAAACATTCAAACTCATGAATTATAATCATGATGTTTATGATTTGAAAGAGATTGTTCATCATTCAATTGTTCATCTATTTATGTTGAATGTACTAGAAAGAGTTCCATTGTTTATGTTATATTTATAAGATTACAGTATTTCTGACAAATAAAATGATATTTTCAGTACGTGCCAGTGATAAACGTATCCACTGTGATGAAGAGTTTTTCAGACTCGGAAGACGAGATGTCAGGACCAAACGTGAGGCTGGACGGTCGACGAGACAGCAACATCACACAAACCTAAACATAAACGACCTAAAAACAGACGATGAGAAAAAAGCTGAGGGTGCTAAATGTAAATTATCTTTATTTTATCATTTAGAAGATAATAGAAAATTAAAAAAACAATCACAATAGATACATTGTATTCAATAATTTCAATTAAAAAGTATGTAAGGCAGTTATCATGTTATCAATTGTGTTAATATTAATAGAAATTTATAGTTTATGTTACAAAACTTATCTTACTTTACATATTCTTCTAGTAATCACTGATCAATATTACCAAAAAATATAGCAACTGGAATTTTATAACAAAAAAACCTGGTTTTCTATTTCATTGTTTTAGACCCTTGAAAAATTATATTTTTTTACAGGCAGACAACAAGGACGGGTTGGAGGGAAAAAGGGGGAAGGGGAAAAAATCTGGGCACCAAAATTTAAAATGCTAAAATAAAGATCAAAAAATTTTAAGAATGTGAAATTAAAAGTTTCCCCCTGCTTTTTTTAAATAAAAATGTACATAGATTAGTTTTTTTCTTAAAGGGTTTGGTTTTTACTGGGGAACTTTAAAAGGGAAAAGTTTTGAAAGAAAAAAAAATTCCTTTTTGCTTTAAAATTCATAAATTGGCCGAATATCAAAAAAATTTTTTTACTAATGATTTTGATTGATTTTTTCCAAATTACTGTATGTTTACCATCCCCCTTCAAATGTTGTTTCCAAAATTATAACAAATCCTTTTTTCTGCCATGACACACTGATTAATGTTTTAGAATCATCTGATCCTTAAATGCTGTGTGATTTTAGTCTCCCTACGGAACTCTGTATCCTTCTTTATAATACTGCACGTTTTTAACGTCAAGCTTTTCATTGGATAATCATGACATTTATATAGTTTTATATAAACGGCTGCTGTCGATTCATGAAGAAATCTTACATTTTTCTCTAAAAAATGATGCTTGCTGTATTATAAATTCGTTATAAAGATTGTCGACAGGTTATATGGCTGTATATATATGGCTGTTTGCAATATAACCCTTGCCTAGCGGCTCTGGTTATATTTACAAATAGCCATTTATATAGGGCCATATAACCTGTCAACATTCTTAATAACTAATAATACATTTTGTATAAGGGAGCTGTCCAGCTATTTTATGCTTGTTGTACCAAGTGTATATTGAAACCCAATCTCAAAAAATAAGACTGAGCTTACATTTTTTGCAGGAAATCACCATTAAATGCTCCTACATAAGGGCTGCTTTTACTCATGTTTGATAGTTGATCTATTTTCTTAATAATTATGCTTTAATAATGCAAATGAATATCTTGTTTTTAACTCACTGTAGCATGTAAATTAGACTTGTATCTTATATATGTTTTATACATATATCTCTTTATGTTTTTTCCAGGGAAGAGAAAGATAAACCAGCTGCCCCTGAACAACCTGAGAAGAAAGGTTAGTATATCAGAAATTATGTTCATGAAAAAACAATATGTTTCTGTAGCCAAGTGGTTAAGGTCTTTGACTTCTTCAAACACTTTCCCCTCACGGCTATGAGTTCATCCCAACAGGGACTTTGGATGCTTTCATGTGTGGAAAACCATCCATCTAGCTTATGGAACATTGGTGGTTCTACTCAGGTGCCTGTTTGTGCCTGAAGTAATGCACGGAAAAGCACCTGAGGTCTTCCTCCACCAGTAAAGCTGGAAACTCGACATATGACATACACTTTTGGTGCAACAAACCCAACAAGAAAAAGAAAAAAATAACTAAAAACAAGTGTTGTTTATTATTTAGCACAATTATGTCTGCCAGGCATTTGCGGCATTTTGTTCTTGGACAAGAGGACACATAGTTTGATACCTGTTTTTGCGTATGTCATTCACTATATCTGTTTATTTAAAAAAACAAATGATATAACCATAATGCTACTTAAATAGCTTGTATCTTTGTTAAGGCAATTAAGAATAGACATGATCTTCTCAAAATAAATGATTTAATGTGAAACAGTATTCTGACTAAATAGCAAGCAATTTAGATATCTTGAAGTTATAATTAAATATGAAAATGGAATAAATATCTTAATAATTCGGATCTGGTTGAAGTTATACTGATACCTGTTACTTAAATATGAAAATGGAATAGATATCTTAATAGTTTGGATGTAAATCAATGAGTTTGATAAAATATTTCACAAATATTCCTTTATGGTAATACAATATTTACAGTCATCATCTCCAAATAGAAAGGTAAATGTCTGGTGTGTACACATGCTTCATCATCATAATAATGCTGTAATCCAGAATGGAATCATTGTTGCTTAATCCCTTAACATGCTGTATTTTTGTGCCCCCATGTTGGTGGCGGGCATTTAGATTTACCCTTGTCCGTCCGTCCTTCCGTTCACTTTTGTGTCGCACGTAACTCAAAAAGTATTTGACCTAGAGTCATGAAACTTTACAGGAATGTTGATCAGCATGTGTAGTTGTGCACCTGGGTATTTTCGTCTGGATATTTTTAGTATTTTCAGAGTTATTGCCCTTGACTTAGTAAAATTTTGCAATTTTCAACTTGTGTCGCACGTAACTCAAAAAGTATTTGACCTAGAGTCATGTAACTTTACAGGAATGTTGATCAGCATGTGTAGTTGTGCACCTGGGTATTTTCGTCTGGATATTTTTAGTATTTTCAGAGTTATTGCTCTTGACTTAGTAAAATTTTGCAATTTTCAACTTGTGTCGCATGTTACTCAAACAGGATTTGACATAGTCATTAAACCTTATGGGCAGGTTGCTCAGCATATTTAGATTTGCACCTGGAGTTTCACTTGTGGATTTATCCAGTATTTGTAGAGTTATTTCCCTTGACTTAGTCAAAAGATTGACAGAACAGTGTCGCGGTGGGGGCACCCGTGTCCTATGGACACATTTCTAGTTATAACAGATTTGATTGGTACAATTCATTTAAATATTCAGGGATTTTTATATAGAGAAATAGAGCCACTAACAGTATAGAGCCTGACAAGACTTCACAGATGTGCAGGATGGCCTGGCTCTATACTGGTGGTGAAGGTTATTACTTTTCAGTTCCAGTGGGTTAAGTTGCTAATCAATTTTCATTGTAATAGTTGGTAATTTAGCTAACAATTTGAATTAATAACAGAAAATCTTGGACATATAACTGGACTTTATTGTTTTGTTTAGCTGGTTTAGCTGCTGTTTGATTGTTGTGGTATAAAATGAGCTGCGTCACGACAAAACCAACATAATGGGTTTTGCGACCAGCATGGATCCAGACCAGCCTGCGCATCCGCGCAGTCTGATCAGGATCCATGCTGTTAGCTATCAGTTTTCTCTACTTTAAAAGAGTTGGTAAACAAACAGCATGGATTCTGATCAGACTGTGCGGATGCGCAGGCTGGTCTGGATCCATGTTGGTCGCAAATGCATTACGTTGGTTTTGTCGTGACGCGGCTCAAATATTGTTATGACAAGTATGGTGACACTTCAGTTTCTGTGTAGACAGCAGCTTCGTTTGTTTTTACAACGTTTAGTGACTTTATATTACTTGTACTCTAGTTTGTACTAAAGTTTCACTGTGTTGAAATAAGATACTTGATTTCCTATTCAATTTCTACTATCTCTGTGACATGAATGTGTTACAGGTAGAGAGTTACTAATGCTACTCATTGGACAGACATGTCTTTGTTATATCAAGATAAAGAAAAAAAGAAGATATTTGCTTATGAGTTACATTTTACTAAAGGATGGTCAAGTATCTATATTTGAAGGCATTAATGTGTAGTTAACTTATAACTAGTAATGATGTAAATATATATAGAAGACTTAATCAATAAACTGGTGATGAAATGAGTGTTAAAGTTATATATTTTATACTTCCAGCAACTGACTCAACTAAACCCGATGCCCCAGCTGATGAAAATAAAGACACTGCAAAAACAGAAGAAAAACCAGCATCATAATCTATGTCAGTGTACACTCAAGTCGATAGACGGTTGTGTTCATTAAATACTACGACAAACAATAGAATTTTATGTTGTGAAGAGTATTGTACATCTAGCTGTAATATCATATAATAATGAAATCTACAATCAGTAGTTGAAATGTGGCCATTGGAATATAAAATATCTGCAAAAATTGTGTTTGACTGATATATGGATCAGCATTTAGCAATATATAATCGTGAACAAAAAGTGTATTATAAAACAGTATGATTTAAGATTCATTGTACAATTTTTTTTACAATAGACAAGAGCTTTATCAATTTAAGAAAGAAAGTCTTCGTTGATGAAACATCAAAATGCATTACATGTTGTGTAATTTGATGTTTGCTGCAAATAAATTAATCTAGATTTTAATGAAATAGAAAAAGAATGTTCTACTTTGAAATTGGTGTATTTTCTCAACACATTTGTAATAAAGATAAAAAATATTATATTAGGAAACATAAAGTAAATGTTTTTTAAACAATGTTAAAAGATGAAAAAGCAACGTTGTTTTATTTCTTAATGATTTGTTTCATTTATATACATGCATGACATACATTTTCATTGTCAGCCATCATTCCATTAAACTTGTTTACAGCAGTATCAAATAAAACAAAGTCCTGAGAAAAAAATAAAATTTTGTAGAAATTTTATTGTGTTTTTACTTGTAAAAATTTACCAGAGCATGTCATTCACCACTTGTGAAGAATGTCCATTTATCCATTCATGTCACCTCATAAACCTCTTTGTCAATAAAACTTCTCAAATTGTTCTAGAAATTATTTCAAAATGAAACATTCCTCTATTATTTGAAAAAGAGGAACACCATTTATAATACTCCCAGATAATGTTTGGATTTTGAAATAACTTGAGCTAATATTTCATTGTGGAATTCAGAATTTTAGAATTATGATAATTTTTGCAAAAACAAAAGCATGGCTTTTTCAGTTTCCAACACATCCTCATTGGCCACATTCCTAGCCATTGTATTTTGACAATAATTAGAGCCTTGATAATGGCCATGTTGTCACTCTGGTATTTTTAGCTCACCTGAGCATATGCTCAGGGTGAGCTATTAGGATCACTCTTCGTCCGTCGTACGTCGACCGTCGTACGTTGTCCGTTCACACTTTTCAAATGACATCTCCTCTGAAACCATAAGGCAGATCATAATGAAACTTCACAGGGATGTTCCTTGTGTGAAGCTTTAACAAAGTTGTTCAAAGAATTCCATTCCATGCAGAACTCTGGTTGCCATGGCAACCAAAAGAAAAAACTTTAAACATCTTCTTCTAAAAAACCCAAAGAGCTAGAGCTTAGATATTTGGCATGAAACATCTTCTAGTGAGTGTCTACCAAGATTGTTCAAATAAAATCCCTGGGGTCAAAATTGGCCCCGCCCCAGGGGGTCATTGATTTTCCCTAAATGCATATAGTAAAAACTTAAAAAAATCTTCTTTTAAAGTACCCAAAGAGCTAGAGCTAAGATATTAAGCATGAATCCTCTTCTAATGAGTGTCTACCAAGATTGTTCAAATAAAGCCTTGGGGTCAAAATTGGCCCGCCCCAGGGGGTCATTGATTTTCCCTATATGCATATAGTAAAAACTTAAAAATCTTCTTCTAAAAAACCCAAAGAGCTAGAGCTTAGATATTTGGCATGAAACATGTTCTAATGGATGTCTACCAAGTTTGTTCAAATAAAAGCCCTGGGGTCAAAATTGGCCCCGCCCCTGGGGGGTCATTGATTTTCCCTATATGCATATAGTAAAAACTTACAAAAAAAATTTCTTTTAAAGAACCCAAAAAGCTAGAGCTAAGATATTTAGCATGAAACATCTTCTAATCGGTGTCTACCAAGTTTGTTCAAATAAAAGCCCTAGGGTCAAAATTGGCCCCGCCCCAGGGGGTCACTGATTTTCCCTATATGCATATAGTAAAAACTTAAAAAAATTTTCTTTTAAAGAACCCAAACAGCTAGAGCTAAGATATTTAGTGTGAAACATCTTCTAATGGGTGTCTACTAAGTTTGTTCAAATAAAAGCCCTAGGGTCAAAATTGGCCCCGCCCCAGGGGGTCACTGATTTTCCCTATATGCATATAGTAAAAAACTTAAAAAAATTCTTTTAAAGAACCCAAAGAGCAAGAGCTAAGATATTTGGCATGAAACATCTTCTAATAAGTGTCTACCAAGATTGTTCAAATAAAAGCCCTGGGTCAAAAATTGGCCCGCCCCAGGGGGTCATTGATTTTCCCTATATGCATATAGTAAAAACTTAAAAAAATCTTCTTCTAAAAAAACCCAAAGAGCTAGAGCTTAGATTTTTGGCATGAAACATGTTCTAATGAATGTCGACCGAGTTTGTTCAAATAAAAGCCCTGGGGTCAAAATTGGCCCCGCCCCAGGGGGTTATTGATTTTCCCTATATGCATATAGTAAAAAATTTAAAAATTTTCTTTTAAAGAACCCAAAGAGCTAGAGCTAAGATATTTGGCATGAAACATCTTCTAATGGGTGTCTACCAAGTTTGTTCAAATAAAAGCCCTGGGGTCAAAATTGGCCCCGCCCCAGGGGGTCATTGATTTTTCCTATATGCATATAGTAAAAACTTAAAAAAAATTCTTTTAAAGAACCCAAAGAGCTAGAGCTAAGATATTTAGCATGAAACATCTTCTAATGAGTGTCTACCAAGTTTGTTCAAATAAAAGCCCTAGGGTCAAAATTGGCCCCGCCCCAGGGGGTCACTGATTTTTATCTATATGCATATAGTAAAAACTTAAAAAAATTTCTTTTAAAGAACCCAAACAGCAAGAGCTAAGATATTTAGCGTGAAACAATCTTCTAATGGGTGTCTACTAAGTTTGTTCAAATAAAAGCCCTAGGGTCAAAATTGGCCCCGCCCCGGGGGGTCACTGATTTTCCCTATATGCATATAGTAAAAACTTAAAAAAATTTCTTTTAAAGAACCCAAAGAGCAAGAGCTAAGATATTTGGCATGAAACATCTTCTAATAAGTGTCTACAAGATTGTTCAAATAAAAGCCCTGGGGTCAAAATTGGGCCCGCCCCAGGGGGTCACTGATTTTCCCTATATATGCATATAGTAAAAACTTTTAAAAAATCTTCTTTCTAAAAAACCCAAAGAGCTAGAGCTTAGATTTTTGGCATGAAACATGTGTTCTAATGAATGTCGACCAAGTTTTTGTTCAAATAAAAGCCCTGGGGTCAAAATTGGCCCTGCCCCAGGGGGTTATTGATTTTTCCCTATATGCATATAGTAAAAAATTAAAAAATTTTCTTTTAAAGAACCCCAAGAGCTAGAGCTAAGATATTTGGCATGAAACATCTTCTAATGGGTGTCTACCAAGTTTGTTCAAATAAAAGCCCTGGGTCAAAATTGGCCCCGCCCCAGGGGGTCATTGATTTTTCCTATATGCATATAGTAAAAACTTAAAAAAATTCTTTTAAAGAACCCAAAGAGCTAGAGCTAAGATATTTAGCATGAAACATCTTCTAATGAGTGTCTACCAAGTTTGTTTCAAATAAAAGCCCTGGGGTCAAAATTAGCCCCACCCCAGGGGGTCATTGATTTTCCCTATATGCATATAGTAAAAACTTAAAGAAATCTTCTTTTAAAGAACCCAAAGAGCTAGAGCTAAGATATTAAGTATGAAACATCTTCTAATGAGTGTCTACCAAGATTGTTCAAATAAAAGCCCTGGGGTGTCATTGTATTTAACTATATGTGTATAGTAAAAACTTAAAAAAATGTTCTTTTAAAAAACCCAATGAGCTAGAGCTTAGATGTTCAGCATGAAACATCTTATGGGTGTCTACCAAGTTTGTTCAAATAAAAGCCTTTGGATTAAAATTGGCCCTGCCAGGGGTTGGGGGGTGGGAAGGTCATTGTTTTTCATTATATGCATATAATGAAAAACTTAACATCATGAAACATCTTCTAATGGGTGTCTTCCAAGTTTGTTCAAATAAAAGCCCTGGGGTTTTAACTGGCCCCGCTCCAGGGGCCTATATACAGGTGAGCGACCTCAGGGCCATCATGGCCCTCTTGTTTATGTACACTTATTGTAGTGATTTAGTATGGAAGTCGGCTTAACATACCTTCCAAATCTTGTAGGATATTTTGACCAAACTTCACTAGAATGATCCTGCACCTGGACATCGCCATATAATTGATCAAGTCTTATTTCTAGTCTTACTGTCTCCTATGTTATTTTGGATTGGGATATTTTACGTTTTCTGGCGCAAAGCCTTGTCTATGTCTTTGGTTTCAAACGGAAAACTATATGTATCACCAAAATGGTCAAAGAAACTCAGTTTAGCATCTTGTCATTAACAGCTGTTCCGGGCTGAACTACTACATGAACTATTATCTTAGAATTTGCCAGTACAGAGAGATAGATTGATGTTGTCTAGGAATTTTGTATAAGATCTATGATGTGCAAGAAGATCAACCTAGACTTTAAAACCCCCCCAAAAAATTGCCTACCATTGGTCACATTTTTGTGAGCTAGATCTGCTGCAGTAAGTCTCCACTGAAGGTATTGATGTGACTGGGTTCAAACCCTATCAGAGGCAATATGTTGGTGTCCTTCAGCAAGAAAAGATCTGTATACATTTATTGCTTAGTACTGGTTGGTTCTAGGAACTTATTCGAGAATTTATAATCAAACTAAAATAAATTAGTAAACAATGATCACTATAAGTAATTTTAAGTTTTCATTTAAAAGAAAACACAATTGATAGAATATAATTAGGTTAACTCCGATCACATGTTTCACTTTCATATAAACACATTCTTTTCTCAAATACAAATAAGACAATTTGTCTCATCAACAAACACAACCAAAACGGTTTTACCTAAAGTAGAATCTCCGCATGTGATGTACTTGTCAGCCAAATACAGAAAACTAAAACAAGACAAAAATGGTTGCTGCCAAACATATAAGCGACCAATAGAAAGTGTCCTATTGCCTATGTAACCCATAAACTAAAATACACATATGGAAAAGAGTTAACTTCATTCAACCTTACAATTAAGTTATTTTTTAGTTCAAAATAATAAATAACTTTAAACTTCGCACATGTTTTGGCATCATAATTGGAGGTCACTTTCCAAGGCCTATAACTTTGGCGGGGATTTTCACCAAATTATAGACCTTAATGAACAGTAAAAATTTTCTTTTAGTATAAAGTGAAGTATTAAAGGGAATACACCTCAACACGAAACAAAATGTATTACTGTTTTTATGGTAGTATACTTTGCTCCTCTTAGTTCACGGTACTTAACACTTTGAAACCAGAAAGAAAACAACAAATGAAACTTATGGTACAAAAATTGCCATAAGCTATAATATTTAGGTATTTTCTGCTTTATTGCACAAGGAAACAACAATATATTCAGTCAAAATCAATTTTAATGGACCAAATTTAACGTAGACCATATGTCGCCCATTTTGAAAACAATGTGTCATCATTTAAATCGCGGTATTGGTGTTATACTTCAGTTTTATATGTTTCAGTTAAAATTTCTCATGTTATTTTGCGTGATTTTAAATATTAAAATCATCCTTACTTTGTAACTCAAATTTTTTTTTTCAACAAACAAGAACATTTAGAAAATGATGATTGTTTCAGACGTACAAATTAAATGGACTATGTTTTTTTTTGCAGAATTTTGTAAAATGTTGTTCTGTTTTACGTAAAAATCTAGAGATTTAAAGTATTTTGCACAAAAACTTTGTTGTTAAGGTGTATGAATAAAATATGTCAATTCAGACCATTTTAACACTGGTCACAAGAAAATATGACATTACCGTGAAATATAAGTGATGACGCGGAATTAGTGATGTTGAGTGTAGTACTTGACAACCTGAACTGAAGTTGCTTAACATACCAACTGATCCCTTATTAAAATGTTTTTCTTTTAAGAAAATAAAACATTAAATAATTGTCAAAAATCAAAATATGCTGCTCAAGCATGTACGCTTAAATTCTCTGAGTTCTACAATATATAAAATTATTAGAACAATAATTAATTAATAACTGGTCCCATTTCCCGCGAAACGCGAGTGGTCAACAAAACAGGGTTTCGCTTAAGATTTCTGGTTTTACAGCAACCTTCTTTGACTTTCATCATGGTAAAAAGAAAATGTCAGTCTTCAACACTCAAAGGTATGATTTTCCTTGTCTAACAATTAAACACGTTTCTAATACTGTTACATTATGACAATTAATGACGTAGTAGTCGGATGTTTTTTATCCCAAATTTTATCTGTTTTATCGGAAACAAGACAACTCACTCCCCAGACGATTCACCCCCAAAAAACCAAGACAACTCACCCCTCAAGACAGGTCACCCCCCAAAATAGATAAGACAATTCACCCCTCATAAATGATAATCATGTTTATGGTTAAAAAAAAGTCAAAAAGTCAGTATATTTATTTATTTATTTATTATGTCATATTTATTCACAAAATATAACTGTATAACAGCACATACAGTATACATGATGTATACAACAAAAAATATAATTTTATTCAATGAAATCAAATAGCACATAGTTTATATTGAGGGAAATGCCCATAATATATACACTTTTCATAAACATATTATCTATCATTTATTTAATAGTCTTGATATTTTTATTGTATATATAATGCAAACATGTACAACTGTCTGCAGGAATAATTTAATTATCCATTATCTTAAAGTGCTGAAAAACCTATTGTTTATTCTACATCCACTCTTTCATCAGAAGCACTTAACACCTTATCATTGCTTGATTGTCACTTCAACAAAATATTCAAAATGAAAGGGATTAAAGAGCAAATGATTATCACATGTTAATATCTTTGATATGTCATCTTATAATAACATCAATAGCACTAATACAAATTAAGACAAATTTATGGTAAATTTGTATTTTTTACTGTTTGTATGTAAATAATATGTAAAAATATTAACGCATAGTAACAAATATTATTTTTAAGTAATAAATTATAATAATTAATTTGAATATGACTAAATATTTTATAAATATCAATTAAGTAAAAAACACAACAAATTTGTTTATTGCATCTTCTGATTTTAAGATAAATTTCATCAAAATTAAATTTAAGAAAATGGGGGGTGAATTGTCTGTGTCATTTTTCCAATAATGCGGGGTGAACTGTCTGATGGGTGAATTGTCTGGAAAAAATGGCTGAGGGTGAATTGTCTGGGGGGTGAGTTGTCTGTAAGCCGTTTTATCACGGACTTTAATGACATAAAAGTCCGTATGACAGACTATTATCCCCCTTACAAGTTCTTACCCCAGACGTTTCTTCACCAAACAGTTGTCTATTTGAAATATGTCCCCCCCCACCCGCCGAATTAATTATTTATTCATTTATTTGTGTAACAAGATCTTATCATTGTAGATTTCTTAATGAACTGATGAATATTGATATTTCAATGAATTTTATTGATATTAAGCAGTTTACGACATTTCGTCAAAAGACATCTCGTCAAATACTAGTTTGTCAAATATGACAATACACCTGTTGTATTTCCTTAAATCATAGCCTAAAGAAGGGAAAACAGGCCGGGAGCTTACCAAAGCTTGTTCTTGATGTTCACACTTTGCCAGCCAACGCAGAACTCAATTCACTCAATCCTAGAACTATCCGGGTACTTTTTCAGTCCCGCGAAAACCGTCGCGCATGCGCATGCAGTCCGGTAGGTCTAGGACCACTTAATCATTTCCTGCATTCACAACACTCCCCCCAACTTTATGAATGAAGGCTTCGGTCTTGGGATTAATGCTGTGAATGCATCAGTAAAGAACTAGAAGCTCGTTTACTTCCTTAATTGTGAATTAGTATCACATCGCGGCTTTAACTTACCCTAAATAAGTAGGCTGTAGAGGAAGGACTAGAAGTCCTTTTGTACACTGGCGTTGCTGTAAAGCTTCTCAAAGGCTAGAAGCCACCTGGAACTTCATTTTTCACAACCACCAGTCCGGATTCAGCATGGTCTAGAAAACCGATGCTATCCGTACTCGTTTCAGTATGATCTAGAAGATCTGTACTGTTCTCTTCATCATAGCACTGCCTTTTTACTGAAGTTATTTATTTGAAATTCTGGGCATCTCTTGTTCTGGATGATGTACTCAAGTCAGATTCATCATGAACCTGGATCCTAATACTTGCTACATCTTCAAGACTTGACCCGCACAGTTCTGCAGTTGCCCCCATATGAACGTTCACTGAATTGGATGTCGTTATACCCTGCTGAGCCAATCTTACTGAGTCGTCGACATCATCAATAAATTTGGCCCATTGCTCGTCAGCCCTAATGCAGTAAGGACATCCACCACATGGCAAATCTGCAAGCTTAATGCCAGCTATATACGATTTACACGGTGTCAAAGTTTCCGGAATTCTTGACAGCGCGTCCGCATTGCCGTGTTTCGATCCAGCTCGATGTTTAACAATCATGTTGTACTGAGACAGTTCCTCTATCCATCGAGCCAGCTGACCCTGTGGTTCCTTAAATCTTAATAACCAGGTCAAACTGGAGTGATCGGTTCTCACAGTGAAGACTTTTCCTAAAAGGTAATGCCTAAACTGCCTCGTGAATCTCACAATGCCCAAAAGTTCTTTTCTGGTGGTGCAATAGTTCTTTTGTTCTGGAGTCAATGAAAAGCTGCTATAAGCAATGACTTTCTCTTCTCCATCTTGAACCTGAAGTAATTCTGCACCTAAAGCCGAATCCGAAGCATCCGAATCTAATATAAAAGAATCTTCTTGATTTGGTAAAGCTAAAACTGGTGGTGATGTTAAAGCTACCTTTGATGTATTAAATGCTTCTTGTTCTTTATCGCCCCAATGAAATTCATTCTTTCCCGTTAGTTTGTATAACGGCAGTGCTATCTCCGCAAAGTTCTTGACAAATGTACGATGGTAATTTGCTAAGCCTAAAAACCTTTCGACATCTTTGGATGACTTTGGACATGGCCAGTTGGCTACTGTTTCTATATCTCGAGAAGTCATGGCCATTTTATTCCCACTAACTGTTCTTCCAAGGAATTCTACTTCTTTTTGGAAGAAAACACATTTTCTTGGCTTTAGCTTCAAACCATGTGTGCGGAATCTTTCTAGGGCTTCGGCTATATTTCCCAGATGGTCCTCAAAATTCCTTCCCAGCACCAATATATCGTCTAAGAATGCCAGTACCGTTTTCCAAGTTAATCCACGCAATATCAGATTCATCACTCTGGAAAATGTGGCTGGTGCATTGGTCAGACCAAACCCCATTCTAACGTTCTCAAACAAACCGTATTTTGTTAGAAACGCTGTTTTCTTTCGGTCTTCTTCACTTATCTTGACTTGCCAATACGCTGAGTTTGCATCTAATTTAGAAAACCAGATGCTTCCTGACAATGTATCTAAGCAATCTTCGACCAATGGTAATGGGAAAGTATCTTTAACCGTGACATCATTAAGGGCTCTGTAATCTATACACCATCTTACAGATCCGTCACGCTTTTTGATCAGAACTGGAGAGGACGCCCATTCTGATACAGACTCCTGTATGACACCGGCATCCACCATTTTCTTCAGATGCTCTTCTTCCTCCCCAACAAAACAAGCTGGTGTGCGCCTCATGCGTTGTTTTATGGGTTTTGCAAATCCGGTGTCTATGGTATGCTCTATTGTAGTAAAGCTTCCCAAATCGAAATCACTCTTAGCGAAAACATCTTCATAATCGCTAAGGAGTTTAGCTAACTTCTTACTTTGCCCTTGATTAAGATGTTCAGTAGAAGCTTGATACAACTTTAGCAGATGATCTGGAACCACTTCTGTTGGAGTCTCTAATGATTCACACAACTGTTCGGCGACTGTTCTAACTCTTAATCTCGTAGAACTAGAAATCCTTCGAGATTTAGACGATGTAGTTTTAGAATGACTAGAAGTCACTTCATTTTCTTTAGGCAGAGATGTAGCTACTTCGCTTTGCTCATCTAGGATATGTTCTACTTCATATGCATTTGCAATCACTTTACCCTTCTTGAATGTCTTGTAAGAGTCAGTTGGATTGACTAAACAAACAATTGGCTCCGTATCTGAAGACATCAATGTCCTTGGCATCAATATACCAACTGTATTCAACTTTTCATCTGGTTCTATAAAATAGTCACTCAGATGTGTGTTGAGACTGCATGACATCCGAACAACTGAATTTGGCGGAACCACAGTACGTTTTGCCACTGTAACTCTTGCAATAGTCAGCTTTCCCTCTCTAAAGCTTGTATTCATGGGAATCTGCTCACCATTCACAATTAAAGTGTCTGAATGCATATCCATCATAACTCCTAAATGATGCATTATATCATGTCCAAGCAGCATTTCATCACTAATAGGTGCAACATAAACTCTTTCATGAAATACTTGAGATCCAAGTTGCAATCTTAATGGTTTAGTGATAAAGCCTTTTAGTACTGCTTCTTGATCTGCCATTTGCATAACTACATCTTTTACTTTTGCAGGCTTTTTGCTCAAGGTAGCGAAGACTTTTGAAGAGAGTATGGTAATTTCAGCACCAGAGTCAATTCTTGCTTTGACTTCTTGATCACCAACTGTCAGTAACACAAAAGAAGAACCAGCTCGCACTTGATGAACGCTGACAATTCCGTCATTCTGTGTTTCTTGGATACCTAAATTTAATTTGACTGTATTACCCTCTTTCAAAACATCTTTGCTTTCATTAACATGACTAGAAGTCATGCCATCTGTATGATCTTTTTCATCAGATTTAATTGTTGCAGTAACTCCAGGGTGTTAAGATGATCTTTGATGACCTTGACTAGAAGTCTTGTCACCTTTATGAAGGCTAATAACATCTTCGTGATCTGTAACTGGTTGTTCTTCACAGATGACATCAGTTTCCGGACTAGAAGTCGCAGAATCTTTACCATTTTGAGCAGTTACTTCTTCGGGCTTGAACGGTTGGCCATTCCATTCAGCCCTTTCTTGTTTAAATCACGATTTGCTGGATTTTCGTTGTTGCTCCGTAGTGTTAGATAGCCCTTTTTTCTTCAACCATTCTTTAAATCCTGGACAGTCTTTCTTAATGTGGCCCCTTTGTTTGCAAAAGAAACATGATAGCCCTCTTCCTGTCCTAGATTCAG